CCAGGGCCACTCCTGCTCCTGTCCTCCCGTCACCCCTCATCTGCACCGCACATCGCCGAGCTGCCACCTGCCTCTGAGCAATCAGCCCCGCGCTGCAACTGCCCAAGCAGACTCAAGCTGGAAAAGTTAATTTGTCCTAAAATGTGCAGGGCCAAAGACCAGTATTTCTTCTGCATGTCTGATAAGTATAATTAAATACATAATTAGGCTGGTATGTCAGCCCTACCTCAAGATTTAGCCAGCTAATAGACAGGCAGGAGAACACACAAAGCACTTTCATATGGTGATTTCAATTAGTGCTTCACTAGGGCAATTTCTTCATCTGGGGAAGACTAAAGAGGCCATGGCTGATTTCCTCACAACACACTGGAAAGAGCAATGGCTTTCTTGCTTTCTGCACTTCCGAGCCACCTAAAAGAACACCCTGTGCTCTTACACCAGGAAAGCTGCAGCTAGCTGGGCAAGCACATCTGTGAAAGCCAGAGTAGCCGCACGCATGAAACCCTAAACGGTGAGGCAGTGGCACAGGGCCAGCTGCAGGCTGTGCTCGTCCAGCGTCAGCAACCCACTGTAGTGGGACAATGCCAGAGTTTACCACCCCACAGCTGGGACCCCCTGCCAGCTTCACCGAGAGGAAATAACTTGTCACACGTACACTGTGTTGCAGTGCAAAATATAGCAGGTTTAGAGCACCCAGCCACTGGGTAGAAGCCGGCCTCTTTTTCTCCAGGTACTTAACTTGCCAGCACACCAAGCCAGACCACAGCTAGAATCACAAGGTCCATCTCAGTCAGAATCTCACAGCCTCGCGCTCAGGAAAGGGGGAGGGAGGGGTGGTGGTGGTGTCTTACTAACCAATGGGACACCAAGAGGTATCACACCACCTGGGTGCACAACACCTTGGCCAACAGACCAGACAACTAGTCCCCAGGTCCTTTCTCACCCAGGAATATTAGTTAAGAGCAATATACAGCAAATGTACTAGCTGTAATTAAGGGAAAGGCTGGGAGCCTCCCAGAAAAAGAATATTTTCCAGCCAAGCTCTGTAGTTCCTACAGGGACCAGCAAAACAGCACATAGACAAGGGCTTTCCAGAGCAGTCATTGCAAGAGAAGAACTGCATTAAAACAACTTATTGGCATAAAATAAACTCTTCCTCTCAACAGGGACAGCTGATTGCCTTTGCTCTGAACGAGCTTCTCTTACCTCTTGCGAGATTTCAAGATGTTTCCTTGCAAAGTGCAAGGCTTGTTCATGGCTCCCCAGGGAGACGTAGGCATTTCCGAGACTCCAGCAGGCTCTTCCTTCTCCCACCCTGCAAAGCAGGAAATTGTCAACCACAGAAATGCCGGGCAAAACCCAGCAGCACATCAGCCCGCTCAGGGCCGCCTCCTCCCCTAGTGCACCAACAGCCAGGCCTCCTAGTTGTGTTTTCACCTACAGAAGTGTTCTGCAAAGGAAAATTAAATGCACTGTACATCTTAAACTCTTCTTACGCTGAGGTCAGTAAGATCAGGGCATGAGCAATAGCCTCAGAAGTGGGCCTGACCCACAGTGGCAAAAAGCTAAGCAGCGTAGCAAGGGCCCAGAATGGTTTGCCTTCATTTGTAAGCACTAGCCTGAGAGCAGAAGCCAGAGCTCCTGTCCAGCTTCCACCTCACAACGCAAGGATTCCTCTCCAGAGACACACAACGCATCAAGGGGACATGTAACATCCAGCCCTTTAGCCCAACAGCAGCCCAGAGCTAAATTACCAAGAACGTGGCAAGGAGAGAACATCGCAGGCACGCAACGTTCCCCTGCTAAACACCAGCCCTGCATCACCCTGGATGCGTGCATGAACTGAACCTGCATGCAAAGCCAAGCAAATATTGGCCCATTTCCACAAGACCTCCAGGGTGCTGCTGCCTGCGCTCAGAAGCAGAGGAAGCAGCCCTCACCCCCGAGCGCAGCCAGACCCCGTCAGACACCCGGTGTCTCTGGAGCGGGTTTCAGCCCCTGTTTGCACAAGCAGGCAGAGAGCTACTGCTCATCAGAGCCTGCTCAGCTCTGCAAACGAGCAGATGTGGGGGGTGATGGGCTAAAAAAAGCACATGGGGGCGCAGGGGGAGGTTCAGCGTGACTGCAACTCCCTTTTCAGAGGTTTGGGCGGGTTGATCAGCATTTAAACGCTTTTCTTGTCACCCTGTTCAATACCTTCTGCTCATAGGGTGTGTTCCCAGAAATGCAGGAGCCCACAGGCCTGCACCCCCACAGCATGATTCACCCTTGGGTGGGATTATGCCTTCTCTGAGCAGATAGTGCCCGGGTAGCGGCGCAGAGCTGCCATCCCGATGTCTCTGCTCCATCTAGTGGAAGACACCCAGCTCCCCGAGAGCCACCAGCGCTGAACAGGGCGGCTGCAAAGTCACTTCAGCTGCAAGCAGGCTCCAGGATGACAAAGAGTGTACCCAGGAGAAAGAAACCAAGCTCGCTCTCTCTCGGAAAAAAAAAAAAGGGGCCAAGAAGCAAAATATATTATCTCCACATGCTGCACATAACATCATTTGTTTCTACATGGAAGTTTCCAGCATCATCTCAGTGGGACAGGACGAAGTGGCATGTACGTATGTATGTAAGTATGTCCTACCCACACATTTTCTAAGGAAGATACAATTTTTGTGAGCTTGAGGAAGCCTTAGAGGGGCCCTTCTGGGATAAAACAGCAGTAGACACATTGCAGAGTGCTGAATACAATACATTTTCTTGAAGAACCTCTTATCAGAAATCTCACTCAGCCCCCACAGACATAGTTTTAAGGGCACAGTCTCCAGGTTTCAATCACATGATAAAGGTATCATTCATATTACGTTTTTGACAGATGACTGGACTAAGGCCTGGATTCCGAGACATTTCTAAAGACTTTCAAAAATACACATCACTGCTGTTTAGCCCCAGCAGCAGAGAACAATAAATCAACAGGGAAGGGTCAGTGCTCTGAACCCAGCAGAGCAGAAACACTGTCTCCTGAGGCAGTCCCTTACCTGTCTCCCAGCTCCTGTGCTATCACCAGGTGTTTTAGATGGTACTCAATTGCTCTTTCATAGTCTTGAAGCAGTGTGTATGTATTTCCAAGACTGTAGCAAGCCTGGGCTTCTACTGCTTGGTCTTTGAGTTGTCTGGAGAGCTGGAGTGTTTTCCTGCATGGAACAGGTGGAAATGAAGAGACCTGGTCATTGCAGAGCACCTCTGGAAGGTGACAGGCAAGTCACTGCTTGGGCATGCACTGCTTTGAGCTGATGCCTGTAACACGCTGCAGGCTGGCTGTCAGGTGGCTGCATTACTCGCCACTGCTGAGCACCACACATGCAGTCAGCCTCCAGGTCCCTTGTCACATCCCCCTGAGCCTATAAATTCACTGCAATAGGTCAGGATTTCCAGGGAACATCTGCCCTGTGTCTGCCTTAGCCCCTGGCACTTACTTGTAGTACTCAGCAGAGATGTCAAACCTCCCAAGGAAGATGTGTGCATTGCCCAGGTTGCTGTACGCTCTCCGCTCGGCTGCCTTGTCCCCAAACTCCTTAGCAATAGCAAGGCGCTGCAGCAGACACAGATTAGTGAGTACAGGCTGGCCACTGCCAGCTTTCTGTGACACAGCAACTCTTTTGGCAGATCAGTTTCTTGGTTTGCAGAGCTCCCACCCAGCAAGGTAGCAGTGCACATGCCTATCAGGGCTGGATGCAGCAGGAAATCTCTCCCTCCTCTGCAACTCAGGATCAGGAAGGGCCCTTGGAAAAGTGGGAATAATGTCGCATCCTCCTCTAACTCCTACTCCAGCCTGGTCAGTACACTTTAGCTAAAGTGCAAAAGGCGCTATGCATGTTCTTCAGCAGCTGGATAAAGAGGTGAGTGGAGAGCTGTAGGTGAGGCTGTGAAGGGATGGGTCCATGAGCAGACTATTGTGCAGGAACAAGGCTGCACTGTGGCACAGAACAACGGTACACGTGTGCACGCTCCATCTCAGTCTGCGCTGGAGCTGCTCCCCAGGCCTCTGCCCCTGCCCGCACCTCAGTCCCACCTCTGCTCTCCCGTCCCCCTGCTCCCCATCCTTCCCCACCTCTCACCCTCTGCTTCGCAGCACCCTGCTCCTGGTCCCAAATACCGCACAGTTTTCCTGCCCCTTTCAAGCCCCTTCTCCCAAAACGCTGCTGGCTGCTGCCCTCCAGCATTTAGAAACCAGAAGAGCTGTGACAGGGCTGACTTTCCAAGGTGCTGGGCACTTTCCACTGCAAGGAAACTGATACATACTCAGGGCTAGAAGCTGAATTGCATTTGAATTGGGGAAGGGACTGTGTCATCTCACCCCTCTGCAAAGTTTTACATTAAGTTATTATGTTCTACAAGCAACGTTTATTCCTGATCAACAGCTCTTTCAGCAGAGTAATTAAACTCATGGCTTGCATTTATTAACACCTAGACTGACACAAATTAAGAGCAGAAAAGCCTTGGTAGGCCCAGCTGCAATTTGCCCTTTGACATCTCCTTTGGTTTCCAAGCCAATGGCACCTCTCCCTCAAGCTGCTCAGTAGGTGCTGACGGGGATTGGAGTAAGATGTTGCTCAGCATGAGTTAGTACAGTAGGGCCAGACCCCGAGGTACAGACAGGAGGGAGAGAAAAAGCCCAGGACAAACACCTCCCTGTACTTTCTGGGCTGTGGTGAGAAGAAAGGCTGCTCGCCACCAGCCGGTCCCAGCCCCTGACCCCAGGAAGAAGGTTTCCTACCTCCTTGTGGAAGGCTATAGCTTCACTGAAGTTGCCAAGTAAGTACTGGGTGTTGCCGAGGTTGCCATACGCACGGCCCTGCGCAGCTCTGTCCCCCAGCTCCTTCACCAGGGACAGGTTCCTCCTGAAAGAAGTCAGAGCAGCATGTCTGGTGAGACACAACCAACCCTCCCTGCAGGAGATACAGTGAAGAAACTCGCACCGCAGAGGAAGGAGAGCCAACCCCGGAGCAGGCATTTCCCCTCCCCAGCTGCCTGCCCTGGGCATCCCTCAGCAGTTGAAAGGCTGGTGATCTACGCTAGCCACAGCTCTGGGAGCTCAGAGCCCGTGGTGCAAGTCCCTGCTGCCCTCTCGACCTCAGGCAATCTGCAGCTATGTACAGGAACCGCTCAAGCACTCACACATTGATGGCCTGATAGGACCCCACGCTAAATAAGAAATGGCCACCTCACTGTCCAGGGGAGAACCAGGAGCACGGGAGAAAGGAGATTACCTACAGCAGGACAGGGACAAACCTGGGGAGAGGAGCAAGCTCCACAGTCCCATGCCAGAGCTCTGCTCATGGAGCTTCCCAGCATTTCTTCACCTTGTTCTTTCCCCCCTTACACATCCAGCAGACAAAGGGAAGCGTAGAGCTCCCAGCTGCCACAAATTTACCCACTGGCTGTGCTACACGCACCATTCTTTGGAAAAAGGATGGCAAGCTATATATAGGCACTATCCCATCCTCAGGTATGAGAAGACAGATATAAGGTCTTGTCACTCTCTTCATTTAAAAAGGCTACTTAAAAAAACCCCTGCATTATTGAAGCAAAACGCTGAAGCACAAGAGAAAAACATTAGCCCAAAAGTCTGGTGACAGCCTTCCCGTGTGGGACATCGGAGTGATCTCTGAAACTATCTAGGAAAGGGAAGGATGTTACAAGCAAGATAAACTACAGATCCACGAGAAAGAGAACCGGGACTTCAAGTGAGAGCCTCTTCTCTTGGGTGAAGGAGGTTCTGCTCATGGCCGCAGTGATGGAGACAGAGAGGGATCCATTCTCACCAAGGCCAGCAGAGAGCAGCAGGGCCTACGGCAGCTGGCAGTTCAGCTTCCAAATACAGCTCTGAGAAGGAGCAGACTACTGAACTTAATTGCATGATCGTACTTCAAACTACACTGAGTTCTACCAAGGCAATGCCAGGACAAATTTTAGCCCTAATTTCATAAAAGCTTACAGTCCCTCTCTCGCCTTCTTTGAGATTAATTTGCCATGATAACTTGGCTTCTCAGGGGAATATTCCTAATTCATCACAACATGCAAAAGCTCATTCAGTGGCCTGACTTTCAGCAGTGCTGAGCCCACAGTCTCATTCTTTGCAACAAACATCTTCCAGAGCTCTCACATTCGCAGTGGCCCAGGAAACAAATCGCCCCCATGAGAAATGCTTCCAACAGGACTAAGTAAAAATAGTTGTCTTGCACCCCATGCAGCTATCATTAGTCTAACGGTTATCAGAGCTCAGCTAACCTGCAGACCCTGAAAGCTGTCAACAGAACAGGAACTCCATAAATATTGATTATGATCTGAGCAGGCCAAGCTCAACAAAGGTGTACCTGTGTGTATTTTAGCAATCACTGGTGCCTGACCAGCGCTGTTCCCTGCAGGATAAAGCACTGGCCAAGCTTGAATACTTACTCATAATATTCTGAAGCTTTCTGTAGCGTCTCCTTGACTTCTTGAGGCAAGTAGCCTGGGTCTTGGGCCATGTTCCAAGATAAGTGCTTTCCCTTTGCATGGTAAACATTTCCTATATTATAGAGTGCTCTGGCTTCACCTACCTAAAGGGAGGAAGAACAGGGAGCAGTGAGGTATTACACTTCACATCCCTACATGGACCTTTCCATTGCTGGGCAGAGATGGTGCAAGCCAGGAGGCCAACAATTTCCTTTCCCATCTTTACTGTCGTGGCAGCTGTTACTGTCAGCAGCATGAGACCTGTGACGCAGCCGGAAGGGAGAGCTTTACACTCCATCTCCTTCCAAAGCCCGCCTTCACCGTATCACAGTTACTGACTTGCAGACAGATTAGTTTTAAAGCTAAGAAATATTTCCTGTTGGATGCCATGAACAAATTACCTTGTCTCCCTGCTCCTGGGAAATGTCCAAGTGTCTCTGGCAACAAACGACAGCTTCATCAAACTGCCCAAGTATTTTCAATGTATTCCCGAGGTTGCCGCTTGCCTTGGCTTCTCCAATGCGGTCCCCAATGGTTCTACAAGATGGCCAGAGGAATGAAGAGAGGTGTTAAAGAACTCACAGACTTTTATTCACCAACTGTTGGAGGCAGTTTTCAAGCTGCAGTGAGCCAAGCTGCAGCAAGAACTGCAAGGTACACACATCACATCCAGCGGTTCCCAGCACACACGCCTGACTGGAGTGCTTCATAGAAGCTCTCTTAATCTGGAAGACAGATTCTTGGTTTTTGCTGTCTCGGGTGGACTGCTTTAATGACTTCAGGTGTACTTACAATGAGTATCTGGGGACAAGAGAACTGGACACTGCCCTGCTCTTGCTCCAAGCACCATCCTCACATCCATATCCCTTTCTTCCTGCTCTGAAGGTGACTGTCTCTTTCTCATTGCTTCCCGAGTTCTCCACAGGACAGCCAGCCCATGCCTCAGGGCTCGTTTTGCATGCTTATTTCTGGGACAGATTCCCTCACGCTCCTGGGTTCAGACCCCACAGAACTCACCTTCGCTCAAGCCCTGACAGGTTGTCTGGTTAGGATGAGCCACTGCTGACATGCTTACCTGGCCAGGGTAAGGTCATGTTTATGGTATTCCAGGGCCTTGGAGTACTCCTTCAGGTAGAAATATGCGTTGCCCAGCTGACTGTAGATGGCACTGAGAGTCTTCAGGTCCTCCGTCCCCACCTGCACTGCTGCTTCGAAGAAGGCTGCCCCAGCTTTGAAGTCCCCAGCCTTGCACAAGCGCTCTCCTTCCAGGGCCAGTTCCAGACAGGACGCCTCCATTCTGCCAAAAGCAAGACCGTCATTTCTAGAGGAGTTAGACTGCAGCGCAGCCATGCTGCTCTGCAATGGTTAAAAAGTTTACTTCATTGTACACCTCGTTGTGCTAGAAAAAAATCTACAAAACGCCACCAACCCTGGAAGAAGCCACACTCCAGGCAGCAGCGGCCTCTCTGCACTCAGCCCCAAGCACCAAGGCCCTGGTCAGACACCCTTTGGGTGATAATAACTTGGGACCACGCAGCCAGCAGACCTCAGTGGTGTGGACACTGGCTTTCAGTGGACACGGTAGGCACTTGGCCCCCCCCAGAAACCAGCCTCTCAAGCACAAGCCACAGGAGCGCCCGGATTTACAGACTGCATCTGCAAGTGGCCAAAGGCAGCCCCCCAGTTCCTGGTAGGAATCTGGACAAGCAGCTCTGGGCTTCTGGCTCTCAAGGTGCACATTCACATCACAAGGGTAACAGGGCATCTGTCTTTCTTCCAGGTGAGGCACAGCACAGAAGCCACGTACCCAGGCTACTCATGCTAGCAGCATTTTCCTCAGGGTAACAGAGAGGGTAGCCAAACTGTAACACATTTTTACTGGATACCAGAGAAAACCCTGGACTGTGCAGAATTTCTTGGCTGAGCAGCTTCCAGTGCTCAGTGTCTGTTTTTCATTAACTCCCCTGCTGTCACTTTTTCCACAGGCACTCTGCACGTTAGCCTCCAGGCTAGCTTTCCTCCCTTGCATTTCTCCACACCTTTGGCAACGGTGCACGCCGTGCTGTCAGTGAGTGCTCTGCGAGCCAGCAGAGAGGAGCGAGACCAGTGATACTGCTTCAAGAGAAAGGAAACGTGCTCCTTCGAGCGCTCCATCGAGTCCTCTCTAAGTTACAGCTGTCCCTGCTAGACCGTGAGTATCCTCGGGTTCTCAGACAGGACAGAGCACAGCTTTAAAAGCTGACATTTGGGAGCCTGCTGCAAAGCCAGCCCCTTTGCGAGGCAGATGGACATAGCATGTTCCTGCTCCTCTATTCAGGTGCCTCTCTTCACTCTTTTTGGCTTTTTCATTTCTACCCAATGTACTTTTAAAAGTCTAGGTCAAAGGTGGACATCTGCTCAGAAGAAACATGGCCCATTTGTCCAGAGTCAGACAAAAGGTAACAAATGAACAAAGGCGGTTTCTATTCCGTTCTCAGTCAAAGAGCACTTGCAGGAAGGCTGACTGTGGTACCCGGACTAAGAGAGCAATTTGCTCATCACCACCGCAACAGCAGTAGCCCAGCTGATGTGTCCTGCAGCAGTTTGCTGCTGAAGCCAAGCAGATGCCTCCCCCAAAGCCACCCTTGTGATGAGCCAAGGCCCAGCCCCTGCAGCCGGGGTCTCTGCAGACCGAGGGTGGGGTGTGCTGGCCAAGCCAGGGCACCCTGCACAGCTCTGGCTCCTCTCCCCGAGGACCCCACATGCCACCGTGCACCCACACACCCCGTGCACGCTGACTGCAGGGCAGAGGTCCTCCTGCTCGACGTCTGCGCTCCAGCACCTTCTGTCCAAGCCTGCACCCAGCACCTGCCTGCCCTGCTGCGAAGGGGTGCGGGGGGATGCACGTGTGAAATACCGATCCCGATACATTTTTCCTACAAACAGGCAGAATGGCGTTTTCTCAGCTGCCAGGAAACAAAGCCAGTTCCTTGTGAGCAGTGCATAAACTGTCTAAAATCCAACCCTGTTTGCCTGGCACTCTCCCTGCTGAGTTGGCTCCGTATGGCTCCAAATGCCCAACACTTGGCAGCCCAACGGCATCCGCCAAAGCAGGACAACCCACAAGGACTGTCCAAACAAAAAAAAATTGGCGAAAGACCTGGTTTCAGACTCACCCTCCAAACACACTTGTGACCTCTCCCGTCTCACTGTTCATTTGTCCCCAAAACCACCGAGTAACAAGAGGGAGAATGGGATTATGAAGCAGCTCTTTAGAGCTCCCGCCTCAAACTCCCACACAAATATTTGATTTCAAGCTCACTGCAGAGCCCACTTTTGAGTGGCTATTTTACTTGCACAAGAAGGCTGCTTGTGGTCCTACTGCAGCATCAGCCCCTGCCTCAACTTCTGTTTGACAGGGGAAATAAAAATGTTAAGACTGTTAATACTAAAAATGTTTAGCTTCTCTCTGCTGGTCCTCTTGCTAGACCACAAGAAAATCAGTAAGAATGAGCTTCTGCTGCAGTGTGTTGAGTTAGAGGGATGCAGCTGAGGATCACACCAAACTTCCATCAGTCCCAAGGGATGTTCATGGTTTGTAGCTCACTAGAGTGGTTAACTAGTGTCGTCATTAGGTACTGACAAGTCTCTGCTGAGACATCCCAAATAGCTGAAAGAAGGCTTGGGACTGAAGAAAGACAAGAAACATCTTATACTCAAATCAGCAAGATTAAATTCAGGCAGCCTAGTAGAGATGAATCTTGAGAGGACTTGAAATGCAGGAATGAGCCACTAGCACAGGAATTAATGTTGGTTTCCAGTTAGAAGATGGTAAAGACAAAAGAAATTTCAAAATCATTTCAGTTCAAATTTCAACACAAACAAAATTCTTCCCAATATCCACATTCTCTTTAAGAAACTGAGTTCACCAACTGTAAACAGTCTAAAAACTGAGCTGGAGACCAATTTCCCTAATTCATGGCATCGCAATCTAGCTCAGATCAAACCTGTTGTGTGATTTGAATAGCTTGAAGTGAGGGTTCCCATCCCCACAACACAGAACACCCTACAGCAACAAAACCCAACTACACGCTCCAAGGGGGGCATCTCACGCAGGCCATATTTGCCAGTGGCAGCCTAACCAGAAGGGGAATCTGTGCCTGGGGGCCTGCGTTCTGATACACTCACACACGCTTGCACACGCTCACACTCTCAGGGTGCTTTCCTGGTGTTCCCATAGTAACTCTTCAGGCACAATGCAGTGACACGACCTTCCAGTGCATACAGCCTTTAATTAAAATCTGTTTGTCCTTGAACAGGCTGCTTTGCAGAGTATCTGACTTATCTAATTAACATCACTGCTCGGTTTGGGACCTAAGCAAACAAGGGGAAGGGAGAGGAGGCTTTACCTCTGCATCGTACTCTGCCAAGCCTTTGCTGCCATGTAAATGGACAAGAGTCAAGGATAGCAATTATTAATAGAAACACAACCCACTGCTAAAACCCACCTGCCCTTCCCGCATCCTCAGGACCTCACAGCCAGAGCCAGTTCTGAGAAGCAACTTATGCGCAGTCCAGTCACCGCAGGCTTAAAAGCACTCCGAAACACAATGCCAAGGGCAGAGGAACCAACAGAAGGCCAAGAACAAACTCAAGCACACACTCGTACAACAGCTTCCAAAGGTCATAGCTCAACAGTCCATGAGAAAAGACCAGACAGGCTATTTAAGGAGAAGATGGAAATCTGCTGTTCAAGCGAGCCAGCTTGAACCACCTCGACAAACTCTGGCAAAGGAGAGGGAAAACAGTGAATAAAGACAGACTCAAATCACAGCCCCAGTTCCTCCCACAGCACATGCCTGAGCCCTCCCCTACCTCTTCTTCTGCAGGTTACGCATTTTCTGAACATAGACCCAGAGCTCCAAGCCCACTGGCAGGAGGAAGCAGCGGGGCTGAGGTCTACTTGGAACAATTTTGCAGACAGGTCTCTCTGTTAAGTTCACAGGTAGGATCCAGGGTTTTGAAGATGTGGATGGCATCTTCATTTCCGCACAACATGCACTGCTCTCCAGTTTTCACTTGCTCTCCACTTTTCACTTGACCTGCTTGGACAATGTTACCAGCAAGTTGCTGGAATCTTGAACTTTGTTTATCTGGGACACTCCTTTTTCTCTCTGTATGCTGCCCTTAAAAGTGAAGGGGAAAGGAGTATTGTTTTTCTTTCCAGAGACCTAGACAAAGCAATGCCCTCTTTTCTCTAAGAAATATAATATTCTTCGCCCACTGTTGGTTTCAGGTACCAGATAGGCAAGTTCACAGCTGGAATCCAGAAATGAGAGAGTGCCTTGGTTCATTCACATATTTTCAGTGCTGCCCAAAGCAGAAAAAGGGCCCTGGAAGAGTCCATGAGATAGCCAGAGTTGAAGGCAAGCAGCTCCCTCCTTTCTGCACGGGTCTCTTCCCAAAGCACTTTGCCTCTGTGGTCACATCAGGTATTCCTGTTTGTTCCTCTTTTCTCCAAGAGCAGAAGGACTTCTGCTGCTGTGAACCTCTTCTTGTCAGGTGAGGAGCTCAGGGTTCCTCCAAAAGAGGGTCATCTTTGGGCAGAAGCACACTTTACTTCAACAGGCTCCAAAAGGGCCCCATCTGTCTGCCGCCCACGAAGCTCTGCAAGCTCCAGAAATCACCCGAGCAGTTCTCAGACTGGGGAAAAGCAGAAGGCAGATCCCACAGAGTACATCCCTGCCCATTTAAATGGGCTCCAAAACATCCCCATCGGAGAAGACACAGCCCTCTAACCCCCCAAGTTTCTCCTCTGCTGACACACGGGCAAAACGCCTGAGCCTGCACCACCTCAGCAAACACCTGCTATTCACGTCTTAATACCAGAAAAGAAGATTCAGTCCCTCCTGAGCCAGCAAATTACTGCTGACAAGCTGAAGGTGCTGGGCTTGGCCATATGGTGTGGTTTAGAAGAGTGACACTGCAGAACACGAGCTGCTTTTCTTACTTCCACAGCTAAGATGCTAGAGCTTGTTAACACAATTCCCTCACTACTCAACCTTCTAGCTAACAGCATGGTACATCCCTGCCTATGGGTTTGGACAAAGACACCGGGAGGGGGGATGCTCACTTGGAGCAGCTCCTGTTCATGAGCCTTGCCCTAAATCAGTGCAAACCACTCGACACAGATTTGCGTGTTCCTCCAGAAAGTTTCCAGTTATTGGCAGAAGTCACATCCCATACTCCAGGCCCACCACAAGCAGCCAGGAAGGTCTGACAGCCTTCCTAGATGATCAAGTCCCAGATCAAGCCAAGACTACACCACGTATAGCAAAGTGATTTCTTCTGAATGCACAGAGATGACAGACCCCATCCAGTCCGGCCAGGTAAGGATAAAGTTTTGAAGAAGCCAGTTATAATCTAGAAATTAAAACAGTGCTGGTGTGTACAGCAAAGAGTCCCAGCATCAGTTCCCAGCTGGAGCTCAAAGCAAGTCCCACAGCTCCTCTGCACCTTGGGTTACGTACGCAGTGTAGAACAGCAAGGAAGGTGGCTCCCAGAGCACTCTGAGATCCTTTTGCAAAAGGTACTCTAAAAATGGCAATATATGTGTTTAAGAAACAACAATAAAAAGAACAAGTTTTTTTTAAAGCAGTAAGAGGCCAAATATAAACCCAATGTTTGGCCACAAATGAGTTAGGCAATCTGCACAGCATTCTGCCAGAGCAACGCGGGAGTGGCAGAACCCTGGCAGATCACTCGGCCCCCATCAACGCAGCAGCTGCGAATTTCAAACCCGCGGATGGATGTTGCTTCTGACACTCACATGAGGCAGAAACGGGTGACCTTCCACCGCGCGGTGACACGGATGAGGAAGTCTCCTCCCAATCCAACACAGGGCAGGGCTGCCCTCCCTGCTCCTTCACTACTTCTTTAAACGACAACTGATCTGAAGGCAGAAAAAGCCAAGAAGAACAGGAAGAGCAGATATTGCCTTTAACAACAAGATTTCCCGGGGTCATTCATCGCTGCCAGATAGCAGCTGATGATGATCTGTATCACAGATTGCCTTTTGGCTGCCTTGCCTTAAGAGTAAAAATGTTCCTTTACAAAAAGTGCACAGGCAAAACGCAAGGACTGCCACGTGTCAAATGTTTTCAAGCAACACAGCAATACGGAGAAGGCAGCGAGGGGCCCGGGAGCACTGGGGATGCCGAGAACACTGAGACAAAGCAAACGGCACAAAGTGTTATCGGTGCCATTAACAATGATCACCACGACTGCTGTCAAAACAGTGCTGTAATTCAGACTTGGGTGATGATATAGGTTCCCAGAGGGGGAACACTACTCATAACGTGTGTTCAGCAGCTGGGAGCGACAGTCAGACCTCCCAACACCCCGCTCTCCCCCAAATCTAATTAGGGGACCTAATAAATGTTTATAAATATCTGCAGGGTGGGTGTCAGGAGGATGGGGCCAGACACTTTTCAGTGGTGCCCAGTGACAGGACAAGGGGCAATGGGCACAAACTGAAGCAGAGGAAGTTCTGTCTGAACAGGAGGAAGAACTTCTTCTCTCTGAGGGTGACGGAGCCCTGGACCAGGCTGCCCAGGGAGGTTGTGGAGTCTCCTTCTCTGGAGATATTCAAGACCCCCCCGGACAAGGTCCTGTGCAGCCTGCTCTGGGTGACCCTGCTTCGGCAGGGGGGCTGGACTAGATGACCCACAGAGGTCCCTTCCAACCCCTACCATTCTGTGATTCTGTGAAATCTTTATGCCTCCTTTGTCAAATATTCCAAGAAAATAACACTGCATGGACAACCTCACGCTTGTCCTCCCCCTGCTAGGCTGGAAAACAGCAGTGCGGACTGCCTTTAGCCAAGAGCTATTCTGCAGGATCATGGGCTATGCCCTGAAGCTCAGGGCTGCTGCAGCTCCTGCAACCCAGGAGATGCAGCCACAGGAGCCAGAGCAGGACGCAGTGACATCCCACCTCTCCAGTCTGCACCTCTCCATGGCGTCCACTCCAGGCAGGCAGATAACGAGGAGACCATACAGTGCCCAGCAATTAAACTTGGCTTGCTCCAAGCCTTTCACACATTCAGGGCTGCCTTGTGCGGACTGTCTTGCTCACAGCACTTACCCTGCTGACAATAAATCCATCAAGCTACGCAGAAAATAATCACATCACAAGACAAAGGTAGGAGACAGTTGTCTGCTGCCTTAAATATTGTAAATCTCACAGGGCAAGAGAACCTCTTCCTGCCTGCACAGTGAAACTGCCTCAAAAAAAAAAAAAAAAGAGAAAATATATTTACAGGTATTTGATTCATATTAGTGGAGCAGATTGCAAAACTCATTCCCAATCAGAGCTGGTGTAGTTTTAAAGTTAGGAATAAAACCCAAGCTTTTAGACAGGAGGTAAGACAGAAAAAACCCTACCAAAACCACCAACAGTAGTAAAAGAACTCCTCTGTATATCTATCATTATGAATTAATGAAGCAACAGATTTTAGCATCTTACTTGCAACCTGATTGAATTTTATACAAAAATAAATATAATTTGAGAGCACTGATGACAGGGGCAATTAAACATCTTTTCCCCATCAGAAAGTGATCAAGTTTATCAGGTGCTCAGTGTAAATGTATATTCACTGGCTTAAATAAATAAACATGTAAATAATTAGCTGGCAGCACATCTTTAAAGAAAGTAATCAAGCTGGGAATTATTCCCCTTCAGTAATTTCCTTTCCCAGCCTTTGCACGGCTTCTCTACATGAAAAGCAGCCGATGACTCTGAACCAGCAGATAGCACAGCCAGGCAGGAGCTGCCCGAACTCCCCAGGGACACGACGGAGGACGCTTCCATCCCGCAGGAACCTGCTCATGCTTCTCCTGTGCCAAAGCCCATGCTGGGCCTGATGAAGGGTCTGGCTGTTTTCACGGGCTTCCCTACATGAGGAAAGCTACCCCAGATCCCCCTGATGCACAGCCCGAAATTATTCACCATGAATTTATAGCTGTTTAGCCTTGGGCAAGCACCGCAAGCTGGGCTAGGCTGCTCTTCTCTGCCTGGGGCACTCTCACCACGTGTTTCGGGCAGTTTCTCCCTGGCTACTCTGCCCTAGGCAGGGTTCTGCCTCCTCATCAAGCACCACTTTCCTCACAACAGGCTGGGAGCTCACATAGTCAGCCTGAAGAAGAGAAGGCTGCGAGGGGACCTTATAAATGCCTACAAATATCTGAAGGGTGGGTGTCAGGAGGATGGGGCCAAGCTCTTTTCAGTGGTGCCCAGTGACAGGACAAGGGGCAATGGGCACAAACTGAGGCACAGGAAGTTCCGTCTGAACATGAGGAGGAACTTCTTCCCTCTGAGGGTGACAGAGCACTGGAACAGGCTGCCCAGGGCACCAGGACACACAGAGCTGCCTCTCTCTTCCTTACTCCCAAACAATTAGCTCCCATCTCTGAGAAGAAAATTTTATTACTGGCTCCTAAGTACACATGCTTGCAACTTCATACTACGAAATGTCATCACATTGCCATGACACCAGACTTATCAATCATTCAGTTCCTCGTATTCAATACTCATCCTCCCCTGCACTACCTGTATGGCCATACCAGCAACACACCCATTAGCAACCTGCTCTGTTTTGCAGGGAGGGCACTAATTAAAGTACTCAGCTCACTCCCAAGGCTGGTTCTTGTGCAATGCAGCCAGCGATGCCTCTCCACCCTGCCGACAGCTCTCCTTGAAGCACGGCCCCTCACTTCCCACGCACGTCACAACCCAAGTGCTAATCCCCTCCTGACAAGCAGTTTCCCCACAAGGCACCGTATCAAACACAGGCTGGCAGGGAAGGGTGACAAATAAATCAAAATACACTTCACATTAGCTCAGGTCAAACTCCTTTTGGTAGTTTGAAACCAGCACATGGAAGCCGATTTCCCTCCGGTCAATGGAGGGCAGAACCTCTGGGCACTTTACCCTACATGTCACGGTATCAGTGAGGGGAAGAAATCAAAACCCTCTTGTT